TTGCTCAAAAGCCTCAAACCCTCAATCAAAGGAAGGTTTTTTTTTTTCTGATGAGCTGAATACATGAATAATTTGAGTGAGGAGCATCAGAGCATCAGGAGGAGGAGCAGCAGGAAGGGGAAGGGGAGACGGTATAAATAAAGGAGCGGGAGAAGCTGGGAGCCATGAGGAAAAAGGTGAAGAGCAGAAAACTTAAAGACATCAAGTACTGCGGAGCTGAAATCAGACGCCACAAACTAAAGAAAGAGAATATCTTTCTGAGCCATTTTAAATTGTTTGCTGTATTTAAAGTAGGTTTTAAGCTGTGATTTACGGATTAAAAAGCTATGCATTGGTGTCTTTAATCTGCAGGTTTTCATTCTAGTTCTTGACTTTTTAGGAAATCTAACAGGTCTTTGGAGATGGAAAGCCTACGAGTGGTCGTCTACCTGTCCGTCTTCCTCTCAGTGATGACATCTGTTTGTCGGGGTGAAAGGTCAACTGAGAACCAGCTGCCCTCTGCATCAGATGTGCCAGCCTTTGGACTTGAACTGGTGAGTTTATTCTACCTTCAGACCACAACACTGGTACTTTACTCTATTAAAAAGTTTTTTACGGTGTAATATTTAGTCTTAGCAGAACAAGTCCAGTCCAATAAAACAAAATATTTTTTAAGTGAAGATGGTTAGTAAGACTTTGTGTGAAATGTGCATAAATGCAAAATATGTGAAAACTGTCCGGTTAATCTTGTGTGAAAGTTTTGGTAAATTCATAATGTATGATTTATTTTTGTTAATTTAAAGAGGGCATATTATAACTTATATTCAAGTTTAAACTACCTTATTAATTTATGTTAGATCAATTAAAGATGGAATTTGCAGAAACCTAAAATTTTTCTGAGGAATTAAGATTTTGGTAAATTCATAATGTATGATTTAGCTTTGATAATTCAAAGAGGGGATATTATAACTTATATTCAAGTTTAAACTACCTTATTAATTTATGTTATATCAATAAAAGATGGAATTTGCAGAAACATAACAGGATGATCGGTTTGCAAATTAGAATATAGTAAAAGGGTCAATCAAATAATGAACATATGAACATTTAAAAGAAAATGCTCAAAATGGGTTCAAGCAGTAAAACTACAACATAAATTTTCCTTAATGATAAGAAATAAGGAAACAAACTAAAATGCAAACATGTGCTGAAAGAAACAAAACAAGTTAAAATATGTTTAAAAATAAAAGGTCTTTATCAAAATAAAGGTTTTGTATGAACTGTTAAGACTAATTTTACATCATAAATCCAGTACTCACTGTAAAAGTTTATCTGTACGAAGTAAATGAAAACTATTCTATAACAGTTTAATTAATCAGTACCTGTATGTAAAAAATAATCAAAAATAAAGAAGAAATGTATAAAGTTTAATATCCCTTTGTATTCCCATGGCAGAGTGCTGCCACACTAAGTAGTCGGTTGCAACTGAGTAGTGCATGGGGGACATTGTGAGCTTAGGGTCTTGCTGAAAGGGACAGTCTGAGTTTCTAATGGCGATCTTAATGCTTTTTTCAGCACAAACACCCTGCCATCTACCAGCCTGGTGCTGCATATTATGATTTGTTAAAACATATTATATATAAAACTATAAATCAGTTATAAATAAACGCTTGTATTGCTCTGATCAAATTTGTTTTATTCTGTAAAAAATATCAAAATTGTAGATTATTTCAGTCAATCAGTAGCTTTAGACTAAGATGTTTAGACATTTTCCATTTGTTACAAAATAAACATTTAAATAAGTTCCTTTTACGTCAGCTAAACTGCATGTGCATATACAGAGATTGAGGTCTAAGGCTTTAAATGTTGGTTTATTAGTTAATATTGAGACAAAGATTAAGACTGATTTAATTCTGATCATGTTAAGATCAGTAAAGGTCATTACAAGGTCATGAAACTCATGAACGCTGATGCAAAATCAAAATCAGTTTTTGGGTTTTGAAAACCCTCAGAATGTCCTGGTTCATTTCATAAGAACGTTTCACTCTGTTATAAACAAGTTTTCCTTGGTGTGCATTGTTATGATTTTTTCTAAACCTAACTTCTTTGTATATTTAGTCTGAGAGAAGTGGCTCCAAGTTAAGCTTGACCACATCTCACATTTCGTCATAAACTGTCATTTAAACTTGACCACCTCAGTTACCAAAATATAAAGTATGTGCCGGTAAACATGAAATAAAAAAACTGGAAAAAAAAAAAAGAAAATCCAAAATAATTTTTTATTCATTTTTAAGCATGTTTTAAGTATTAGCTTTGCAACAATTGCAAAGACATTTATCAATGCACAAGATTTCAGCAACATGTATAACAATTGGTTTGCTGTCATTGTAGGTAAGTATGCTTCTGGTTGCTGGTTGCCTGTACTGAAGAAGTAAATTCCGCCATTATAATGAGAGGTTAATAATTAACTTACAAGATAAGAGGATTGCAAAAAATAAAATGAAAATAAAAATACATTTCTGCAGCCCTGTCTTTGGAGTTCTTGCAGTTTTGTCTGCCAGGAACGTTGTCCCTTATCTTGCCGCCACTAAATAAACAAATCATAAAATCATGTATGTTTAAAGCTCACATAAAGAGTGATTTAAGTGATTTGTGTCTATGCCCATATGCCTATGCTCTGAGCTGCCTAAATTTGATCTGAACACCTCAGACAGATGCCACTTGCAGGTGTGAACAAGGTCTATTTGTGTTACTGACATGTTTGTGCCACTGTGTGCGTTTGCGTGAGCAGGCTGAAGCTCTGCAGGGTCTCCTAGATGAAGCTGACAGCAGAGTTGGTCTCTCTGTGGAGAAGAAGGCGAGCGTCATTCCCAGGGTGAGAACATGACTGATTGCTTTCAAAACTAACATGGCAGCTACTGTCATCCCAATATTACCAGCTGGACAAAAAGGTTAATAAATTCCTATGTATCTTTGACAGTTTTTTGTATAACTCAGCCTAGAGTTCTTAGGTGTTTATTATTGAAATGTGTTTAATGTCACATTTCTTGTTTCATTCATTCTTCTTTGCAAAAACACCCACAATCAATTGCACCAACACTAACAGAAAAGGAAATCATTCTGTTGAAGCCTTGCATTAATAAATACAGCATTTTCAAGCTTGATAACACAAATATTTTATCATCAATATGTAAACAACCAAAGCAGATAATTCATGAGCCAGTTGTTCATAATATTTCCTTTCAATTATTGTTTAAAAAAATTACAGTGAGAGATTGTTCCACCATATAACATAGATGTTATCCTTTTAAAATAAATGTTATCTGTCCTCTTAGTGTGACGTAGGCGAGCGCTGTGCAATGAAACACGGGCCTCGGATCGGACGGCTCTGCGACTGCCTCAGAGGAACGGCCTGCAACACCTTCTTCCTGCGCTGCTACTGATCCCTCACTCCCTTTATTATTTCCACCCTCATAAGAAGGTGAAATATAACCGTTAACATATAATCAGGTCTGTTCTGTTATACGGACTTTAACTGTTCTCACAAAGATCAAAGTATGCACTGACACACACTCCTAGATTTGTCTGCATGTTTGTTGTTTTAAAGTTTTTGTGTCTGTAATACAGAGTGATTTATTTTGTTAATAAAGATTGTTCATACAGCTCCTGGACTTTAGTGATGTTATGATTTTCATACCACATCTTAGGTCATTTATTTGCCTGACGAGTCAAACACAGACTGTTGAAGCATTAAATCATTGTGTCTTTAACACATACATGTGGTCTATTGTTTTTATGCTTAAACTATAAACAGAATCAAATCTTTAATTCAGGTTTTAAGTTATTAGTCTCCCCCTTATTTATTGTGAATTAATGTTTACATAAATCTGGAATTTAAATATGTCCGTTGTCTGTCCTATAAAGTTGTCTTAAACAGATGAATGTTATAGAGAGAAATGTTTGTTTGATATATTCTTTACCCTGCTGATATGTATGATTTAGCCTGTGAATCTTTATCTTTTTTGCAATTAAATAAATGGTGGTGTACCACAAAGCTCGGTACAAAGTTCACTGTTTTTATTATCCTTCTAGTTTTTGTTTTGCATGCTCTTTGAGCTTTGTTGGATGGTTGATGAGCATAAATAGTTATGGATTCAATGGCAGCACAATAAAAACATTATTTGGTTAAAATTATTTGTTTCATTGAAGTTAAAAAAAGAAAAAAACATGTTCCTTAGATTCGAACTTTTAAGGAACTCAAAGTAAATAAATAATCTAGGTTATAGAAATACGTTTATATTTTTATATTTACCTGGTTTTATGATCCAATCTGAAGATTAAATCCATATTTTGCACATTTAGATTACAGACCATCTGTTTGCAGTTTAGTGTTGCTCTGCTATTAAATTTTCCCTTATTGGAACATGCTGAATTTCTATCCTAATGACGGCATTTTTTGGCAGCTCTGTCTATGTGATACATCATAAGTAAAGATAAATTTCAAAATCATATTTTTATCATATAGATATTAATTCCATTTTTTAGTCAATTTATATATACGTATATATAAAAAAGGCTTTATGCCAAAAATCTAGGGAATCTTTACACATAGAGACATTAAACTCATCACTCAGTTTAGATGCATAAACCGGTACAGATTAGCACCCCATCTAAGGATCTAAAGGTCTATCTAGTTCTTTACTGAGTCTAGTAAGCTTATAATGATTTAAAGTGACAAATGACCTCTATTATTGCTTCTGATCTGTACAGCATTGTTAATGCTTATTTTACCTCAAACATATGTGACCATTTTATTTTATATAGCAGGTGAATTCAGTTCTGAACAGGTCATAGTGTTTCAACCTGGAGAGACTCATACAGAGAAAAGTTGCAAATAGAAAATATGAAATGTATTTATACAGGTAACACAATCATATTCTTTAAAATATTTATATCTAAGGAAAAACAGTTGATTGCATCGACTCATTGTCTCTCTTCAATCCCTCACACCAATTATGCATGTAGTGACAGTGGAGACGAAAACAGGAAGAAACCTCCAGCAGAACCAGGCTCAGTTTGAGTGGCCATCTGGGGTACAAGGAGACAGAAGCAGAAGAAGACATAAACTAAATAAGTTATTTGGTGCTTGGGCCAAGCAGAAGACTTTGATGTTGTGAATCAACATATGTATGATGAGTAACCTAGGAAGGGATAAGAGTAGTGTTCCCTTGGGACACAGGTCGGGGAATAATCCAGAGGATGGGTGGGACTGAGAGTAATCTGAGAATGAGGGAGGAGATGGGCTGATGGTGGGTGAAAGTTTACTTGCATGCGGGAGAGAGAAGCTGGGCCAAATGAAGGGGATCTTGCTAGATGATTGGCTTTGGAGAAGGTGCAGCCCCGAGCTGATTGGCTGGAGCTGAACAAGGAACATCGTAGGTGGTTCAGGTGAAGCTGATAAGAGTCTTTCAGATTGAATTTTTGCTTAAGCTTCATTTGGCAAAAACATATTAAGGTGCACACGTGTAAAATGTCTTACAGAGGACCCAAAATGTCAGCGTAACATAAGCAATGTTTAACAAAATTTATTTTAAAAAAAGAACCGGTCTCTGCTGAGGTCAGTGGATGAACTGAAAATACTGAGTTCACCAGGAGCCAGGCTGAGTTCTGAGTTTCAAGGGGTGATTTTTTTTTTTTCTTTTGGTTTCTTTGAAAGCCAAAAAGCAGCAGCTGTAGGATTGTTGCTGATAGCATGTTGGTTATACAGAGCCTATATGCTATATTAACTTTGAGCTTTTAACTCATGCTACAGTAGTCCATCTAAATCCTGCACAAAGTGGTATTTCAGTTTATCCATGCAAATCTGAATAATCCTCATTAATTTTGTTTTCCTAAGGCTGTCTTTACCCGCCCCCTCCTGGAAGCAAATATCCACTTTCTAAGGGGCCAAAGTTTAAGTAAACTTATCATCTCCAGGGGGTGAGTTGTTGTGCAAACAGCAGTTACAAAAAACAAAACAAAAAAACACACAAACATAAAATAAATGTCCTGAATATTATGTAGACCTGGAATTGACCAGGCTAATGGGAGCAGGAATAAAGGATTTTCTCAGTTTGTTTCTTTTATAATATAGCATATTTGTATTTCTGTCCTGACGGTAACTGAGAATTCAGCCCACAGAGGAAGACGGAGATCAGTCAAATGGTCATAAGCTTCTTAACCATGAAGGTTCCTCGTGTTCGAACTGATAAAGGAAAGAAAGCATTCAGTGTGTTGGCTCCTACAGCGTTAAATCAGCTCCAGTCTGAGCTCAAGATGTCAGACACTATTTCATTGGACTTATTTCGAGTGGTTCTTAAAGATAGACAACAAGTTTTTATTGTTTTATATTTGTGCATATGTATTAAGTGGTTTTATTTTTGTAACTAGGTTGCAGTGTATTGCAGATCTCTGCCCAGGTCCCCCTTAAAAATGAGATCCAGAGCTCAAAGGGGTTTACCTGGTTAAATAAAGGAAATTAAGGTCATTCATGTCATTAAGAGATATGCCACTGCCTCTACTATTGGATCCTGAGCAAGACCCTTAACCTCAATTGCTCCCCCAGGTGGCGCACAGTGGCAGCCCACAGATCCCCAAGGAGACGGGTTAAATGCAGGGGTAAATGTCTCAAATATGAGAACAATAAAGTTAAATTATTATTAATTATTATTATTATTATTAAAACAGAACAAAAACATAGACATAGTAGAAAGACAATTCTGATTTTTGAAGGAAACTGACCAGAGCCAACAAATAAAAGTAATAGTAAGTAAGAACGGATTCAATATAAAAAAAATATTAAACATCATGAAAACAAAATAGACCTTACAATTATGAAGCTTACAACAAAAGTGCATATGCTACTTAAAACTCAGTTTCTCTTCAATAGCTACACCCAGGTATTTGTACCGTACCATCGAACACAGTTTGGTCATTGATCACCACTGGAGGGATCAAAGTCTTAACTAATTCATGTTAATATGTCAAACTGATTATCCACTCTATTTTAAAAAAGTAATTGACAACAGAGGCCTGTTTAGGGATTTCTGTGCAAAGAAGTACCCAGTAAAAGAATCATCCCAAATTTAACAGTGTAGTTTGTTGTTAATGGCTCTGACAATCATTAGATTATAAAATTAATAAAAGGTGTGAGAAGACACAGGCCTGGGGAGACCCATTAGTATAAAAGCGAGGCTCAGATAAAACAACATTCACTGTTCAAAAACGTCAATTAAGACCTCTATCAATATTGAAAAAGTTCTTTAACTTAGGTGCCAAAACATATGTTTGGATGCAATTAAAAGCTGAAAAAAGGGTAAATCAAAAGGCCCAGAGTGCATTCACTTCACCTGTTTGCCTTATAAGCAAACTGGAGAGAGTCCAGCTTATCCTACATCACGTCTAACAACATCTCTCATGACAATTTATCAAAAAAAGAAGAGATGTCAATGCCACTGGTGTGAAATCATGAAGTCTTTTGCAAGTTTAGATTTTAAATCGGAGGTGATTCTGCTTATGCTTGCTCATTATTTCTGGTTTAGAGCCAAACGGTGCCATTGTCCAATCAGTGAGGTCTAATTTTCCCACTAATATCTACCTCTTTTTCTAGGTTAATGTCATTGTGGCTGAAAACATTGTCTCTGAATATGTTGTTGTGTTTTTTTTTTATAAAGATTTGTTGATGTGGTTTGCACTTCAGGGCCACCGTAGGTATGGTACATGTATGATGTATGCCATACATCATGTTGTATTTTCCATGATGAATGATAGAAACGACATGGGATGTAGTCAGTATAAAGGACAGTGAGAACATGTATGCCTGCATTTTTTTTCCGAATCTTATAATCATTTCCTCAAGAGGACAGCCTGGATAAAAAATACTAAAATCTTATTTTTAATACAGATGTTTCATTGTGTTTGGTTTAGAGAATTAAATGTCATATTTTGCTTTGTCTAAAGTTATGTTGTTTAGACAGTTTAACAGCAAAAGGCCATTTGGAATACCTCCCACAGGAAGTGAAAAGAATGTGGTGAAGAACAGATGTTGAAGCTGTTCTTCAGTTACAGCTGGAATCAAAGGATGGAAATTCTGGAACATAAATATCTGATCAATCCTGTTAAAAAACAATTGAGGGGAAAAATTGAGAAATTAATTAAGTGTCTATAAGATAAAATAATATTTGCTTCATTGGTTGGATTAACAATTGTGTAGAAAGTGTCTAACTATGGCTGCATGTTTGAAAAGCTATTTTTTAATCATTTTCATCTGACATAAAATGATGCCCAGCTCAGAAACGTAAATGTTTCGCAAATTTCTAATTATAGTGGGAAGAACCTGTATAGATGTCATCATTTTCAGGAAATGCTCACCTCCTGCTGTGCTTCCATTACCTGAACCGTCCAATCATAGTGAGCCTGGTCTGATGAAGAGAACCTTTAATACGTTGTTCAGACAGGCGAAGCTTTATCAACCGGAATCAGAAACAGGATGGCATTTAGCTTCCAGCTTCCAGTCCTCAGAGATAAGATGTAGTAATTACTGGATCCGACACCTAGACCGCTGGTTGAACTATAAGGAGCAGGCTAATACATCATAGATTCAATACGTGTTTTCTTACCCGTAGACCATTTAAAGAAAAACATATTTTCCTAAGTCAAAACCACAAACTTCAACGTATTTTTTGATTTTCTATATTAAAAAGCAAAAAAAATAAAAAATAAATTGTGCAAGTTGTCAAATTTCATTTGAAATATAAAAAAAAGCTAATTAATTAAAGAGTGCCTTGCATCTGTTTGAGTCAATATTTTTATTGTGTTTTATTATATTTATAGCATTCCATATTGGATTCTTTAGATACATAATGTCTGTTACGGCTGGCAGCCACATTTTTGTAGATTTAGATTAGTAGATTATCCTCTATTCTATCCAGATCATAGATTCTCCTCAACATTACCCCCAACATGTCCGCCAACTTCCTTTGTTTTTCATGCTGCTGTTTTTAAACTCATGGAA